GCTAAAGTTATTGGAACACACTTAATTTTTTTTTTCAATAAGTAATTTAAAAAAATAAATGTCAAAAAATTATATGACACATGGCAGTCTCTCATGGTTTGAATTTTGAGAAACCTTACTATATTATATAAGATATACAAAGTATAAGTACATTTATAAGAGACTGGATCAACCTTACTTAACTAATAGAATCACATTAATATAAATACAAATCCCTAATATACTATATTCTCAAATGTTACTGATCCTCTATCCTTTATACCATCTCCACAATATAGAACAAAAATCTTTCATAAAAACAACAACAAGTTGTCTAATTAAGTTTACCAACTGAAATCTGGCATTTGTTCACATAAGAAAACAAAGCCAATAATGTTAGTAAGCAAACGCATTATTATATAAAAAAAAGCGCTCTCCAAATAATTTCATAACTAAAAACAATTTAATAAACATTGTGGGTTTCGACCAAAAAAAATAAAATAAACATTATGGGTAAAGGCTTGTGGTCCTCCTAGCGTGCAACACCTGTACCAATGAATTAGAATAAATGCTAATTAACTGAAAATTAAAGCATCCAATAGTGACTAAGCACCTGCTTAATGCTAAGTATATAGAACAATAATTACAGAATAAAAATAATAAATTGGGCCAAAAGAGAGAAAGAATAAAGTAAATTTTAGGCAGTGGGTTAAGAAATGCACCAAAATAAAGAGTGGCCATGTGAATTCGTACGGAGATCATCCTACGTGGCATCATTTAATTGGTTTTACCACTGGCGCGTGTAAGTATGGTTCTGTTATAATAACACGCTCGTACGAACGGACATTTACATGCATATTAAAATTTATGTCAGAAATCGTAAGAAATTTAAATTTTGTAAATTACAAATCTGTATATATGTATTAATTTTTTTATCTATATAAACTGATAAAATTGTGTTTCATAAAATTTGTTTTGCTCGTAGTTTGTGACATGATGTAACTTGATAATATATTATGTTCGGAAAAAATGATATTTTTTTTTTCTTTTTGGTAAAAAATGATATGATATGTATTTTTTAATAGAATTACATGTCATTTTGTGAAGACACGGCGTTTTCTATTTAAAAGGTATGTAAAATCGAATTATTTTGCTCATAAATTCAAGTTTTTATTTTTTAATGTATGTATTCACGGTATATATTAGTCTTGATGAAATGAACATATTCGCATATATAATCGATAAAATACAATTTTTGTATCTCCGTAGAAGAGTTATCTATTGATTATTAAAAAGCTAGTAAAACATAATTTGAAGAAAAATGTTTGAACGAAAGAAGTGCTTCATAAGCTTTTGCTATGCAAAAAAAAAAATGCTTAATACGGCCATATTAAAAAGCATATCATAACGAGTTATGTTTGCACGGTTGCACCATTTCTGTTTCACCTACATTTTACTACTCTACTAATTTAGGGATGACAACAATAACTAAATTTATGTTATAAAAAAAAAAAAAAAATTATGTTATCACTAACTACGTACACATATATTTATATGTTTCTATCTCATTTTACACCCAAAAAGAAGCTTTTTGGTAACGGGGATGAAACGGCGAGTTTGAAGATTCTTGTCCGAGAGGAGCTGGCAACCGACAAGGTTGCTTGCTGTCTTCAAGTGCATTTGCTTAATCCACTTTGACTGATCCCGGATCTGTAGGTTGTCGGTAATAATAGACACGTGTCACCATCTCAACCGACTTTTTAAATCCACGTTAACTTCTGATTACGGTGATGATGAGGTAAGTTTGTGATCAGTGATAACGTACACAGTTGTGTTATACTTTGAAATATTCACTCAGATTACAATTATTACCCACTTGGAGCTTGTGCAAATAACTGTTTAATCAAACTAAAAAATTTGTATTTAACAAAAAACTAAAAGCTTTGTATATCTGTATTTTGTTGAAACAGTAGGTTGATCTTGATTTCAATCTTTTTTCTATCGTCTACCATAAATATAGATACAATGCCACACCAAAAAAGAAAAAAAAAACCCGATCTTTAAGTACAAAGAAGAAGAAGAAAAATAGCACTGGAATTTATTCTCCACCAACAATTTTTGCTCTTATAATATCACATTTTTACCAAAAGAAGAAGGGATATATTGTGATGCTGTTTCTATAGTTAAGTATACTATATACTTTAATTAAGGACTTTGGTCTAGGGTTATAGACATCATCATAGCTATAGAGAAAAAATGGCAAAAGATAGAATACATCAAAGAAAAACTCACAAGGATAATATATTCAGTTCTAGCATATAAAAGAACCTACTTTTTTCTTTGTTATTGGCTCCTGATTTCATAAATTTAGGGTTTCCAATAATTTTTCACTTCTCTCCTACCGACTCTTCCCAAAGA